GTTCATTTGATCGTTCTAAAGACGAGTTCGGAAGGACTTTATATAATCGCCGAACTGAGGGGTCCCAAGGGGACAATTCATTACCAAGTTAACTTGATGTATTCCATACCCTGCAAAGTATGTCAAATTTTATAAATCACAAGTGAAAAAAAAGGGAATAAAGACATAACATAAATGCTGTAGACACAACGAGAAGATCAGTCGGAAGGGCAAGTGTTCTAAACAAAAACTCCGCGCGAGTCAAAAAGCCTAAAACTAGAGTCTTCGCTGAATCTCCTTTATGAACGGTACCGGCAGGCGACGGGGGTGGAGGGGCAGGTGGATTTGTGGGAGGAGGATTGGGAGCGGGGGAGGGAGGTGGAGCAGGAGGGGCAGGTGGTGGTGCGTGAAGGGCAGGTTGCGTTGTGGGACTGTGGGATGTATACAAAATTTGAGTAGCAAGTGATGAGTCAACAAACAAGTGAGGATGCATGCAAGGGAGTGCGTACGTTTAGATCACCAAATTTGATAGTTTCTCCGCATCCATCGCACTCTAGAGAACGGTGGATGCAGGTTTCGGTGTGCTTTCCCAGGTCTTTGCGGAGGACGAGCTGGGGACAGTCGGGTTCTGAGCAGGGGATGGGGACGTGTTGGCAGGTGTTTTTGAGGTGTGAGGCGAGGAGCTGTCTTTGGCAGGTGTGTGTGCAGCCGACGGATTGGTGGGGACATTGGACGATGAGTTCGTCTACGAGCTGGGTGTGTGTTAGAAGGGAGCAACAGGACGGGGAGGCGACTTACGTGCTTCACGATTGGGTTTGCGGGGAGAAGGGATTGGAGAGAGAGGGGAGAGCGGTCGACGGGGCATTGGGGGGAATGTTTTACGGCTTCGAGGATGCAGTGATGGCAGAAAGTGTGTGAGCATGTCTTGGTCGTCGTTGGGTCTGTGAAGGGGGCACTGCGGTGAGGTTAGAGCGTGGTGGGTGAATAAGGCGTTGCAAGGATGGCTTACTGGCAGATGCAGCAGACCTGTGTGGAGATTTGTATGTCAGGAAAGTGAATGAAAGGCGGATGGACGTACGAGATTTGAGTTTGGAGTGTCGGTGTAGGTGTAGGTTGTCATTTGGATGGCGGTGAGATGCAGAACATCGCCAACTCGGATTGTGACCAAAGTGGCTGCTCTCTCCCACCATCGTCTCTATGTTATCACTACCAAGTCTCTTTTTTCCGCTCATATTCCCACTTGTCGCATCCAGAATTCGAAGAAACAGACATTTGCCTATTCAAGTGCATTCTCTTCATCTAACCCTTGCCAGTCACCGTATCTACCATAGCGTGCATGTCTACTTTCCCGTAACCCCGCTGCGTCCAGTATAATGAAATGTACCCGGGGAACGTCATTTCACAGTCGACTAACACGCCGTCCTTTGCGATATGCTATCAGATTGACTAGCCTCGCGGGATTAGCCCGCGTCTGCCATCAGAGACACTCGAGTCTATGAACTATGGATCCAGGCCAACATAGTGCCAATATATACTACCAGTGAGCATCATACGCTGTCGATTTCTGACTCGGGGCTGCTTCCCAGTACGGCCAGCTATGCCGGTGTCTGCTACTGGGATATACGTCCAGTGCGGAGAGCTCATTGACACTTGCGATCAGTTGCGCAATATCGGGTGTGCAAAGTGTCGTAGCAGGGAGTTTAACGATGGCTGTGTGCTCAGGATTGGAGATTAGAGACTAGTACGTTGTGTGCGGTGATATGTTGTATGTTTTTAGAATGGTGGACACGGATACAGTTACGAACCTAGTATGGCTTTATTGCAGAGATAGTCATCTATGGGAAACGTGCTCCAACTCTTTTAGCGACGTGCGCGTTAGTGAACACTGTCCGTCATGTCTTTCTACTAGCAAGACAATGCCCAGCAGCGACACCAGGTCCGTGCGCGACATCGCCGCCCTCTTCACCACCACCGTCCCCCCATCGTCAACACCGACACCAGCCCCCACCGTCGTCGTCGACCTCTCCACCCTCGTCACCATCCTCGACTACCAACGCTTCTACCCCAACACCCCCATCGCGTCCTTCCACCCCGTCTACTACGCCCTCGACGACGGCTCCCTCGTCGCACCCCCCTTTGTCCACGATCTCAGCATAACCAACATCACCCTCATCCTCATCGGCATCCTCCTCGCCCTCTTTGTCCGCAACATCATCGTCTCAGTCACCTATATCTACAGAGGCAGGTTCAAGAACAAGGCTCTCCTCTATACTCTGCTATGTAGCCAGCTCCTTGCCCTCCCGTGCTTCATTCCCTTGATTGTAGCTCAGTTCGACCGCGACGTCGACTGTGGCTTGTGAGCCTGTCCTTTGCCTGCTTTTGTGCCGAGCTTATTGTCTTTTCTCTAGTGTCCTTCGCATCACCTCTGCTTCCACTGGCCTCTCCCTCTCCCTCTTGGTTCGTACCCTCATTGACCTCACACAGCCTCTCACCCCTTACCCCACACAGGTAACAGGCATCCTCGGCGTAAAAGCCTACAGATGCCTCGACAACGCGCGTCTAGTCCTCTTCGCCTTGACCCTTTTCCGCACCGCCTCTCTCATCGTCCTCGTCGTCGACCTGACCAACACCCATGGCTACCGCAGGCTCTCAGGTAGTCTACTTGGCCGTTTCCTCCTCTGTTGGTTTCTCACTCTTTCGTTGCTCGCTGTAGGACGATGTGAGAGGAATGGAGTCGGTCTCACGCCTGTATTCATCATCCTCCTCTTCGTAGAGTCTCTCTTTATCTGCTGCTGCTGTACGCCCCTCCCCTTTCCCTCTTTCTATCCTATCACTATTTATTCACCTTTCACAGTCTCCTTCGCAGTCTGGAATTCCCGCGGTTCGCCCTCCATCAGAGGCCGCATCTCCCTCCAGCTCTCCCTCGAAGACGTCGCCGAGCACGTCGGCACCAGCATCAGCACCCACAAACAGACCCTCTCCCCCCCTTACTCTCCCCCCCTCAGCCGTCGCGGCTGGTGGGACTACGTCCCCACCCTCGAAGCCGCCGCCGGGCCCCTCCCGCCTGTCGCACCCCCCGGCCCTGACGGCTTCGAACGACCCATGCGACAGCCTCGGGGGAAGGACGTAGTGTGATGATGGTCGAAGTCGCCGCATAGTTTTCCCGCTGCTGCGTACTGTGAGTGCGATGTCAAAGTCGCGCATGGGGAGTCATGA